TTTACTCTGATTAAAGGAACCATTTATTTTCTAACGTTCCATTATCTGAATGCTTTGATTACAGAGCTGCATCATTGTCATTTTGATTAAAGCTGCAATTTCCTTCACCAGCTTTTGTTCAGAATATGATGGGGCTTCCTGCAAAACACCTCAACATCTGATGTATGTGTCTGAGTGACAGAGAGTGAGAAACATTAAGCATCTTATGAACAAAAACCCTGAATGGTGCTGTTGTTGAAAACATTTATCCTACTTTGTCTCCTCTGTCTGCTTCTTTCTATTTTTGTTTGTCTCTTCTCTGGCTCTTGCTATCTGTGTCCACCATTTTGAAATTTACTTTGCCTTTGTAACTTTCTTTTTCACTGTACTCTTCTCTCTCTCAGTATTGTGAGGGAGAAGAATCTACTATTTTCCTTTTTTAAATTCCTTTGCTGGGTCTATTTTTTCCCCACTATCCAATCTGTTCTCTGATTTTTCTTGTCTTTTCTTTATTCTCCTCTGCAGTGAAGCGATCAGTAGATTTTAAATCGCGGGGCGTTAAATTATTCCCTGGCAAAGACTCCAGCAACAAGTTTTCAATATGTGAGTTCACATCTTAATGTCACTATGGCTAATGAACTGACGTGTGATGGCTTGGTTTGGCTTGGTCTGGCTTTGTTTTTAGGTTTTGTTTTGTTTTGTTTTGGGGGGGTTTTCTCTTAAAAAGGCTGTCAATTTCAACACTTTCGTACCTTTGTTTATTGACAACACAGAAAAATATTGTGTTACCTATGTAGACAACATGTGGTAACATCAATTCATAGAAACTTAGTGCTAAATGTGTCAGAGACATGTTAAAATATGAGATTTCCTGATACACAAATGTGTTGAAAAGGTCCCAGCCTTTATAAGAACATGCGTTTGCATTCTGCTTGACTGCTGGGTTCTTGTTGTTTGATGTTTTGTATATGTATCATGGTGTCTTGGTTTCTGCATGCTTGTTCATGGCTTGCTTTGATATATTTAATCATGGCTTGTTCTGATAAGCTTAATCATGGTTTGTTTTGCCCTGCTTTGGGCTTGTTCAGGGAATGTAAATCAGTTGTTGTAATATTGTTTACTGCCCCCTCCTGCCTCTTCTCTTATATTTCTTCATCACACTCTTCTCTTCTTTTCTCCTCTGATCACACACCTAAACTACATTTTTGTAGACCTTTATACGCAAGTCATTGAGGGCATCAAAGCAATTATTGAGTTTAGAACAAGATTTCTCTGCCATAGAGGCCAATGCTAAAAAAAAAAAGAAAAACTAATCTGACTCTCATATCTACAGTTATTCATATCTACATTTAAGCTTTGGAGTATGATGACCCATCACAGTTAGTAGCAAATTAAAAAACTTTTGTCGGTATATTGTTAATACACAATACTAAAATCCATGCTAATTTACTGCTACATTTTCCTACAACTTGAAATAACGTGAAATCCCAAGTTGTAAGAATGAGTCACTTTGGAAACTCTTTAATTTGACACTGAAGTGAAAGTATCAAGTGTAAGGGTGCTAATGGCCCACATGTCATTTGATGCACCGTAAAAATGGCCACATGAATATTATTTCATTTAGTTAGAAGCCTTTTCAACACTTTGACATTGAGAGAGCATGTACAAAAAGTATGAAACATCTGCAAGGAAAACAGCAGTACCTTTTGTTACTGAAATTCCACTTATTAAAGCTGTCAGTACCCACTTAAACCTCCCATATTTTAGAGTTATTTTACATCCAATTCCCTCTTTATTTCTTTTCACTTCTTTTGTCTCTTTATTATATCCCTTCTTCGCTCTCTCTCTGTCTCTATTACACGCACATACATGCACACATCCTCACACATTATTACACTGATATTTGTACACCCAAGGGTTCATACTCATGCATTACTACTGAACCTACATGCACATTATGTAAACACATGCATCAATTCAAGGACATGCCCTAATACATACAAAAATGTTCACGCAATCAGATAAGTAGACCTTGCTTATCCATGTCGTTACTTGGTACGCATGCTTGCTTATTATGCATTTTTGAATATTTCAGATTTTTCTCGCTTTTTTTCCTTATTTGCTTGCTCACTGTGTGTGTGTGTGTGTGTGTGTGTGTGTGTGTGTGTGTGTGTCTGTAAATGTGTGAATCCCTTAAGTACTATATGAGCTGAGCTAAGCACAGCACAGAGACACAACCCATCACAGATTCATCAGGTTTCCCGACAGGTTGAAGAGTCATGGTTGAGGTTTGATTCTACAGATGTGAATTTGTATGTTAATTAGTCTGGCTCTGATTGGTTCAGATGTTAATTTGCTCTGCTCTGACTGGTTTCACTCTTCAGTGAAGCACAAAACCTGTGTGTGTGTCTGTCCCTGCCTACGTACATGTTTATGTTTCTGTGTGTGTGTTTTCGAATACATGCATATGTGTGTACGTATGCGACTTTTGTGTTTTTTTTGTGTGTTTGCATGTGCACACAGTACTGATACTGTAACCAGTCCCTCTGTTATGGTGTTAATAGTCCAGATGGTCAAATTAGCCGCTCCAACAAAGCAACAAACTATCTACTCTAACAAATACACACAAATGCAAACACAGAGACACACAGACACCAACCACCTGCTGGGTTTGTTGGTATGGACTATACATGTACATGCATGTTAGTCGGACACAGCCTGGGTGGAAGGGTGTTTGTGTGAAAGTAGAAATGTGCAGTGTGGTCTCTCGGCCTGTGTTTGTTACACCTATTTGAGTTGTCAGGCATCTGCATTTTTGTTTAAGATAAGATATTACAACAAAGAAATACCTTAACACTAAAAATACTGCACACTTAAGGCAAAGCTTTTATTTCAAAACAGTAAAAACCTTGGACTTAATCAGTGTTCTTTTTCAATATTTAAAAATAAATGGAAATCGGTCTTCAAAAATCCAAGTGAAACCAAAAATACCATTTGCAGTCTAACCCTCACTAGTTTAGCCTTAAGTAATTTTACTGGCTTGGTGGGAATTTTTGCAAACTCAATTCTGCTCACTTCTGTTCTCTTCCGATTTTCGCCTTTGCTTTCTATTGGTGAAAAAGTGGGCTGTGTTCTGTGTAAAAAGACCTTGTTCACATGAGGTGACCAGTGATTTACTGCAGAAAAAATAACTTTTAGATATAAGAACTGAAGATGTGTTTAAGCGTATGGGGTAAAACAAACAAACAAAAAAAAAATTGCAAATAAGCAGACAGAACAGAATTATGTTCTTCCGCAATCAAACGTAATTTAATCACACTAATTAAATAAGTGATCAACAGAATACTGCTACATTGGCGTCTAGTTGCTGATATAGAAATAAGCTGAATGTCATACTACATCAAAGTGCATGATTAGTTGTGTTTCCCCGTCATTTGAATATCAGTCCATGCATTTGAATATCAAAATACACCATGAGGTGTTTTGTTTTCTGTATAGCTGAAGTAAATAAGCTCACCAAGACAGGTTCTTCCTCTAGTAATATTCTACTCACACCAGACATTAGGAAAGGATGAACCACTGAAAAAAACACATACAAATCCTCACAGTGGCCTAATTTTGTATTCATTTGGTGTGGATGAAAGATGAGGGAACCTCAAGGATTATTCAAATAATTTTACTCTCGCCCTGATCTCGTCAAGTGGGGCCCTAAATCGAGGAAAAATAGGTCATCAATGCACTTTAGCTCATTAAAATACTGTATTACTACTAATACTTTTGTTGTGTGCCAACCTACTAGAAATGGCTCCATGGCACATGATCCTCCCCAGTACGAAGGAAAAATATACAATGTGTTTTGAATTGGAAAACTTCTAAATTGGAATAGAGTTGTTTGTGTTTTGCTTTCTTTCCCTTACCTGACAGCAATGTTACTTTGGCTTTCCCTGGGAAGACACAGTAGCTTTTTTTTGCCATTTCACTCTTTGCTCATCAAACACAAACACACTTACACACACTGTCCATTGCTCAAAGTTAACCCAGCAGCTGTGTCTCTTGAAAGTTTTAAAACCTTTACATGCTCAAGAGAAGGAAATGACTCTCAATGGTTGATGTTTATGTAAATAAAAATTCTATACTCTTGTGTCTTTTAAGGAAAGCCAATGAAATATAGCTGTGGGGTTACTTATATGGAAAAGGAGACCAGGGAGGCTGAGTGACTGGAAAAGGATTAAGAAACCAAGCAGGCAAGCAAGAGAGAGTAAAGGGGATATGGTAGTGAAAAAGAAGACAGAGAGAGAAAGAAAGAAAAGAACAAAGCTACAAACATATACTGTCAAGAGCAGTATTGTAATCAGAGACGTAAAGAAGCATCATGTCAGATGCGTGTTTGTTGTGATGTCGCAGTCTCAAAGCATTTGTGCAGTTCTGTCTGTTGTCTCTGTTCTGCCACTGTGATGTTTGAGTGTTACTGTCGAGATTAGCTCTAGTGTTTCGGTGAGATTTACGATCGTATCTGGAGTGGTGTGTCGTCCCTGTCTGCCTATCTTGCCGTCTAACCTGTCCTTTTCTCTGTCTCCCGGTCTGTCTAACTTGTTTCAACTTCCACCTGTTTCCTGCTGCCTCTAAAGTGAATAAGTGACAAGGCAGGCAGGCTTCCAAAACTGATGCTAAAAGTGCAGAGCTGGAAATTACCTGGGAAGTCTTGTGCTGAATGCTATCAATAGAATGACAGACAGTTTTAGAGTCATGCAATGGTATAGTGAAGCAGTTCTGTGGTGTTGATTTGGCAGCGATGTTGTACCATGACTACAGAGTTTGCATCAAAATCATAAAGTAAACTTATGTATAAAAACTATTGGTTATTCTCAACACATGAAACATAAAAACAAGTATCTGCATGTAGATGAATTGCTGTCTTTTAAGGGAGAGTCTGCTTGCTGGATCCAGTGTAGCTTCACTATAAGCCTTGTCTGTGCCTTATTCTAACCTGCCGGGCTGTGCATCTGTCTGTCTCTGTGTAGTAAATGAAGGTGGTGTGAGACAGGCGTCTAACTCTTGCCCTGATCCGGGAGAGCCAGAGAATGGAAAACGCCATGGCAGCGATTACAGGTACAATTAGTATGCACATATAGAGAACATATACATTTACAAAAACCTTTTATTTGTATTTTTCTGCATGTCTGACTCCCTGTCTTTTATGTGTGTGTTTGTGTATAGCATTGGCAGTGTGGTGCAGTTCACTTGTGGAGAAGACTATGTTCTTCAGGGCAGTAAAACGATCAGCTGCCAGAGAGTAGCTGAAGTCTTTGCTGCCTGGAGTGACCACAGACCGGTCTGTAAAGGTAAGAAATAGCTCTCAACATGCATCTGCACAAGAATACAAATTACTGACACCCTAGTAATAGACACAGATACAGATGGAGAAAGAGGCTGTAATCACAGATGCATGAAGGTAAGAAAACTCTTAAGCACAAGTCCCAATGTACACTGTCTCAAAATGTTGCCAGCATGTAGCCTTGGCCTTGCCTCAGCATGAGTTTGTGTTGATCAGGGCTGCGTTTATAGTGGAAAAAATCCCAATTCAGTTTCAAGCCTCTGGCTATGAAATTCTAAAACAAAACACTCCATAATCCAATATTTGCAATGTAGCGCCTCCCCAACATGCCTTAGTGGTGTGCTTTCGTCAGGGGAGTTATGATAGTGATTGTTCAGGACCTAAATTCTACCCTCTATCATAAACACAATATATTGTAGATAAAGACTACTGTAAACAAACACCAGGTCTGATCATTATTGCTCAATATACCATGCAAATTACAATTTGCACTTTTAAAGTGACAGAAGATATGTAATGTGCCCATATAGTACAGCGACAAAAGTGACTATGGTTTAATTGCATTTTTTCAATTAATCTTCAGCTTCTCTTACTGGTTCCCGTTTCACATCTGCCAGTGTTTTAGTCTCAGACTTGCACCACACACACACACATGCACACATGCACATGCACAGAGGGAGGGAGACAGAGAGAGAGGGCGTCTGTCATGTTAAATGCCAAAGTCGTTTGTCATGTCTCCCTTCACTAGGCTTCAGACTGTGGCTGGAGACACATACTTTAACATAAAAACCAATATTCACTGTGTGTGTGTGTGTGTGTGTGTGTGTGTGTGTGTGTGTGTGTGTGTGTGTGTGTGTGTGTGTGGAGAGAGAGACACAGAGAGAGAGAGAGAACAAGATAGACTTACTTTAACACCTAACTAATAATCACTGAAATAGAGAACTGAAAGGGAGAAAAAAAATAGTAATAAAGATAGTGAGAGAAGGAAAAGCAGAGGAAGGAGGCAAGAAAAAGCTGAATAATGTCACACCTACTCTTCCTGCTTAAATTGCAGCCTCTGTGAATGTAAAATTCTCTATATCCATCACAAGACATTAGCATATGAACACCAACTACTGTTTTGAGGAACAAAGTATTGTAACATTTTTGAAAAACAGATTTAAAGTATATGGAACATAACTCATAGCTGGACATTTCAAATTGAACCATTTTAATCTCACTATAAACACTGAATCCAGCCAGACCTGGATGATGATTTTGTGATGTGATATGATATTGCTTAGTGGGGAATATTTCTTTCTATCGGTCCTTTTCTATCAGGAGGTCAAAGTGCAAGGTCAGCTATAGAGTAGCACCCTGGAAGTCCATAGGGGTGCAATATCTTGCTCAGGGGCAGCTGAGCAGGGCAGATGCTAGTCAGCCAAGCTATGGGCCCTACACTCTTTCCCTCTGGCTAAAGGACACAGTCTAAGCACATGCCTTCACTGCAACCCTGGGTCTCTCGTTTTGGCCAGACACACAGGGGGACTGACCTTCATTATGTGTTAAGTTAGCATGACAGCACAGATCGTTGTAAGCAGGCAGGATATAACCTGGAAAATACAGTTAGGATATGGCTATCTCACGTGGACTGTGGTTGGTCCCTGACAGTTAACCTTATTATCCAACTCATATTAGATATATCTTAGAGGTGATATCCTTTGATTGGCTCTTTAAGATTGTTAATGGCTGTTAGGGATTCATCATCACTAAATACTTTATAATGACCAGTTCAATATAGCGCCCATCAAGTCTAGCATTTACCTGAATTTGACGATGCTAAGAGAGGCTAAGCCTCCCCAAAGGGAGACTGCCAATGACATTAAAAGTCTCTGATGTTGTACCCTGAAGCAGTGAATGGTTAAAAAGAATGACCTCTGTCACTGGGAAACAGAGTCAGCAGTCCGCAGTCAGCAGGGATCTTTGAAGAAAAAGTTATGTGGGCAGGGCAAGACACTTTCACCGAGCAACTGTAGCAGGTGTGCATTGTTAAAGCTGTGTTGAATTTAAAACACAGTACCTGGAATTCCCAGCACAAACTGTTCAGTGAGCAACTTTTTGACAAAACCATGGCAAAGTGCACCATCCTACTCCATGGTTGTTGCTAAATAACTAGTGATTTTGTGCTAGTTGATCTTTGTTGTTTTGAACATCCCACAACGGAGGGCACTGTTACTCCAGTGTGGTCCCATAATACAGTTTGCATAAACTCAATTTATGCTACCCTGTGCAAAAGGCAAACAGTAGCAACAACTATTTGTGATATTTATTGTTCACAGTTCATGACATGATCTCTGACAGATCTACCTCTGACTTAATGCTATTAAATTTACCCACAAGTCGTGCTTGTTTAGACACTAATATTTTTGGAAAAGAAGATACTGTGTTTTCTATTTACTATGTGTTCTGTGTCATTGTTATGCAGTATATCTCTGCCCTACTTTGGTGAAACAGAAAGACATATATCTTCAAACCTCCCATAAATCTCAGGATAATCACACTGAGGTTGCTTGAAGGACAAGATACATGTAACACTGGAATCATATATTTGTGACAACAGTGCTGTGGCTTTGTGTGAGCTATATTCCAGAATCACTCAAAAGAGAAAACAGAAAAGAAAAACCACAATAAAATGCAACTGTAAACATTGCAAATATACATTTAAAGCTTGAAGTAGGGTGTTTTGGTGGCTTAGGTGAAAAGCATAGAAAAGAATATAGAGACTACTCCTCTATTTTTAAACCTACTCCCTGTTTACCCTTAGGGACAAAAATCCAATATTGAAATTCCAAAAATATAAATGCCCCAGAGGCAAGAGAGAAAGGCTAGTCTAAAGCTAACAGACTGTGAGTAGAATAAGCTTCACTGTTGTCTAGAAGTGGTCTGAGACTCGTTAATTTAATACACTTTATCTTCTACCTTCTTTGCCAGACAACCAGTACATAACATTGATATTGTGTAAACATATCCAATCAAGAAGTGTGGAGATTATCTAGGTATCTGACACATCTGGCTCTTTTACACTGAGTGTAAATTCATGTGTGACCAATTACATTTTAGTTAAAAGAGGAGTGTGCTCAAGCTTGACAAAACAGAGCGCAATCTGGAAAGGGAGCTAGAGCAGGTCTACATTGTTAGTAGGATACTGTAGTATCAGCTGGCTGATGGTGACCAGTCACATCAGCTCATCTCATCTTCTGTTTAATCAGCAGTTCTAGCCTCCAAGATAGAACCTGCTTATGATTTTAGAGCAACCTAAAAATGCTTCCAAAACCTCCTTTAATTTTTTTATTTAGTTAGTTAGTTAGTTAGTTAGTTTTATAAAGACTCTGATACGCCTGATGCATAATGATGCAAACAAGAGAGATGGAAATATCTGGCCAGTTAGGCTACAACTGCAGTTAGTTGTAGTACAATGAAATGTTTCTAGTATTATTGTCAGTCGAATATATTGCTGTTTACTAAGGGGTATACTCCAAATAATTTGCACTGTATAAACATGGAAACTGTGTGGCTTCCCACTCCAGTGTGTAAAAAAAAAAAAAGGTTGAGTACATATTTTGAAACAAAATGTAATTAAGATACCCATTTGAAGAGGTCATCTGAGCTCATGGAAATGTCAGTGCAATTTCATTCCAAATTGTGTAGGCCAAAAAAAGTGTATGCTGCATTTGCATAAACACAACCTGAACTGCACCGCTACATCCATCGACACATGAGGAAAAAATAAAAATAAAAATAAATAAACAAGTAAGCTAGTGCGAGAGAGCAAAGCAGCCATGATTGTGTTTTTTTGCATGTACATCAGATCTTCAGTGAGACGTTATGTTCTCTAAAGTACTGTGACCTTATTTAGCTAACTTTGTTTCATCCTGTTGAACTAAAATAGAACGAGGCTAGCTGAACACCGCTCAAATTTGACCTTTACATCCAGACCACCCAAGAGCTAATGTAGAAACTTGTGAATAACATTGAGAGAGAGGCAATCTGTCAGGAAGCATCAAGCCAGCTGACTTATTAAAGGGTCGCCTCTAAATACAGTTAAATGTGTGTTTTGGCACATTACAGAGAGAATAAAGTGAATGTATGTTGGAATTTTGATCTGATCACAACAGCGAACCAATCGAAAGAGAGAGAGATAATCACTTTATTAGACACAATAAAACAATTACAAAACTAAATAAAAATAAACTACAAAAACAGCCATCAAATCCAAATGTCCTTCTGTCCACTCTTACAACACTTTAAATGAGAGAAAAAGAGAGAGAGAGAGGGTCCATGTGGCACCTTGATTAATGGACAGATGGCAAGGCCATTGAGCCAACTCTCGCTCTGTCTGTGAACTCCTGGGGAGTTCAGTTGATCTGCCTGAATATACTGACTCAATGAAGGATGCAACATGTCAACCCAATACACACACTCACACACAGGAAAGAAAGAAAGAAAACTGGAAAGAAACTCAAGTGTAAGGTACGACAACTACACTAAATGATTGTCTGTCTGTCTCTGTATGTGCGTGTGTGTGTGTGTGTGTGTGTGTGTGTGTGTGTGTGTGTGCGTGCGTGCGTGCGTGCGTGCGTGCGTGCGTGCGTGCGTGCGTGCGTGCGTGTGTGTGTGTGTGTGTGTGTGTGTACCCATTAGAGCTCTAACCAGAGCGAGGGCCATTGGAACACTGTGTGCCAGCTTAATGATGTCATCAATCATTCTCTGCGTCCATTGGTCAATCTATCAGCCTGTTAAAACAGCCAGTAGGCTTTGCTGCAGAAGCTTCTGATCTCTAACCTGACTCAACATTGTGATCTAAGGCTCAGTATGAACACAAGAACTTTTTAAAAGGTTTTCACCAGAAAGTTATGATTTGGTTGATATGTATTTGACTTTTAGGGTTTCTGACATTTTAATATTCATCCACACTCAAATTTGCTAGACTTGTTGGTACCATAAAAACTGTCAAACACACTCTAGACAAGTGGCACCTGTAATTAAAAATGAATGTGATAGCCAGACAAGTAATATTTGTATCCTTGTTATCAACACGAAAATAGAAGATACCCCCTAACCCTTTCCGTCAAATTTATGATTTGAGGTTTTCATTTTAGCTTACCTGTCTAGTTGGTTACACATCATCCTTGTCAAAGTAACTTTAATGAGAAAATTCCTTTTATGGGAATGTTTCTTTAATAATTCATGAAGTTCCTTTGATGAAGAAATTAGGAAAGAAGAACCATTTTAAAAAATTACCTTACACTTTGCTTGTAGGCATTTTGTGATGGACTGGTAGATTATATACAATGTCACCAAGGCACACCAATGATTGATCGCTGAGTTTATAAGCTCAGAAAATACCACAGTCTATTCATTGATAGTTGAAATGTCTTCCCAGAGGATACACTTTTGGCATAAGCCAATCCAACAGTAATGTGTTGGTAAAAGTGTGCAATAATGATTACATTTGGATAACATACAAAAGTTGAAGTCCGGCACTGAGATCAAATATGTAATTGTACCAGCAGGACATTGCTGGTCCAGTAGCACACCCTTTCCAAATCATCCAATGAATTGTGTACTTAAGAAAACTCATCCGTATGATTCAGTTTTATTTTCTATTTGATTTACCTCTTCCCCAGTTCTCTTTATGCTCTTTGGTCAGGGTGCAGGGTCAGGCAGATAATCTGGAACAGGTAGGGGTTAAGTGTCCTTGGTATGCTTCAGGAGGTATTGCTGTATGGATGATTGAACCTAAGCCCTACACTTGGGGGACGACTCACTAACCGCAAAGGCCATCCTGTTGAGAAAGCAGCAGAGTTTTAGACCTTGAGTGTAAGGCAAAGATCAGACCGAAAGAGTTTCTGCTATGCTAGAATGGAAAACCAATTCAAAACATTGTGAAGCTGTACATTGTTAAAATTCAGACTCAAAAACACCTTCCCAGTGCATATGGAGTGCGTCCGTTATGCTCTGAAGCCATAAAACAAAACCTGGAGAACTGTGAGCAAGGGCATTGGAGTTACAGAATAGGTGTTGGCAATGTGATCCTTGCCTGAAACATCATTTAATTTTGGTCCGCATCCCAGCGGTTTATGTGAGTATGCGTGTATGTGTGTAAGAGTGAGAGAGGAAAGTGAGAATCCTGGGGGAATCCAGTTGATCTGAATATATAAACTCAAAAGAGGATGAGTTGTTACGCACACACAAGCACACACACATACTTAATGCGGTTCCTGTCTAAAACATTCAGTTAATCTCACTTGTGATTCCAACAATATGCTTTTAGTACCAGATAGACCTCATCAAATTTTTTTAATTTGATCTAGAATTCATTATCGCTTCAATGATAGTGTGGCCCTTTTGGCTTCAAGCCCTCTATATTGTGTGCCAGTATAAATAATGATGAGAGGGAGACAGAGAGATACAGGAAGAGACACAGACAGACAGAGGTGTGAGAAAACCATTATAAAAAATACTCCTTAGTCTTGCATTCAAAATCTTACTTAAAGCTGCACATAGGGTGACCAGATGAGAATAGGTGAAATTCAGGACAGGGGAGTTAGGGGTGGGCCTGAGCATGCACAAAATGTTCATGATTCCCTGCACTCCCTGCCAGAGCCAGAACAGAGTCTATCTGTGGGTGACACTAAAAGAGTAATTCACAATTATCAGTATGTAATGGTATTTCGGTTATAACTAATCAAAACAGGATTCAGGATCCAAGACAACTACTTGTAATTTTGGACTGTCCCAGATTTTGTCGAGGTATCTGGTCACCCTAGCTGCATAATATGTTTATATCACTAACAATGAATCAAATGACTATGTGTACTGTAAAAAAAAAGTGTCACTGTTTGTGACCCACAGAAAATTAGCGCCCAACTTTTTACCTCTTTTAGCTCATAGTTTTGGTTTTCCAACTCACTCTCATCAACCTGTTTTCTAACCACAGCCAGCTGATTTTTTCAGTGTCCCCATTTTTGGTGGCCTGTCCCCTTCCGGAGCTGTCCCTGGAAATGTCTCCGTATTTCACGCGACTAGAAATACTGGGCAGCAGAGCCTACCAGCTGGTCTGACCTCACGTTGTGCTTGTTCATAATCTGTTCACCTTAGCGTGAGTACAATAGAGCAAAGTTTAAATATGCCACATACTTCTGGGTATTTTAATCTATAAAAACATTAAATCATATAAACTGATGTTTTGTATACACGTCTTTACTAGTAGATGAAATGGAGTGAAAAGTACAAAACTTGAACTTGAACTTGCAAAGTATCAGGGTAGAATTATCAAGTAATTATAATGAAAATAAAACATACAGAAGACAGGAGTATAAAGGGGTAGGAAGAAAAATAGAGAGAACGAGAGATCGGCAGATGATAGAGTGTAATGTAAATCATGAACTTCATACAATGGCTGATAGAGGGACCAAGACAGCGTGAATAAAAGGTGCAGAGAGAAAGACAGAAAGACAGACAGATGCAGGCAGAGAGACAGATGGTGTTTAATATAAATTATGGGATGTTAGCTCCTCTGGTAATTCTGCTGATAACTCTCTCCGCGCTATCGCTATAGCAACACTGTGCCCATTCTGCTGTTGGCACAGTGATGGGCTGGCCATTCGTTCAGGCCGCGCTGATTGTGCTGTCAGCGCACACGCACACTCTTTGAGACATGCAGATAAATCATTTCTCACGTGAAACTCAAACACACACGCACGCTCACACTTCATCTCTATGTATCTATCAGTTTATAAACTTCAGTGAGCTGAACACAAGAGAAGGTCAACTGAAGATGCATTGAGAATTAGAAAAACATGCATCAACTGGGTTCAGACAGGGGGAACTCAGGCGAAGATCCAGAAGACAGAGAGACGGGGAAACACAGAGACAGACAGAGAGACAGACAAGGGAGATATAGGGTTGTCTCTAAGGGGTCTTGTACTTGTTCTGACACTCTTACAGCATCTCACGGACACACCCCATTACACACACAAAAAAAACACACACACAAACACACTTTAGGATGATTCTTTTACTTGTTCCCTTCCTGCATTATCACAAGAGCAGCCAGGAGTGTGTGTGTGTGTGTGTGTGTGCACGTGTGCTTGAATTTTTTGTGAATTGTGTGTGCATGGTGGGGAAGTTTGAATTATGTTTGGATGCATGTCCTCGTAAGTGTTCTCATGCATTCTCACACGCAAGTCTGCTGTGTAGCGTGTGCATGCAAGTATATTATTTTGCAATGTTGAGTGTGGTTTTTTTTCTTCACTGTAACGTACGCATCAACAAATGTGCAACTGCATGTGCGCCTGTTTGTAAAATATGACCATATAAGTGCTCATGCTTATGTGCTTTTGTGTGTGTGTGGCTGTTAACTGTACGTGTTCCTGCGGCCTACCGCTGAACAAACTAATTAAGGAACAAACACTGCTTCAAACCAAGCAGAAAATTACCTCCCAACTCTAACAGGGCGACCCAAGGACAGACAAGCAGGTTCTCTATCACATCCAGTCAGAGCACACAGCCTAATAAAGGCTTCGCTGGTTTATCGAACAACTAGCATGTGTCATTTTCAACACCCCACTGAATGTAGCATCACACTTAGTGTTTAGTGAGTTTGTATGACTTTCCCGCATGAATGGGACATACTGATGGTACTTTGCTTCTATGGATTCACATAGAGAATCTCCACTCAAACCACATTGTTGTACACTTACACCAACTGTCAGTCACTGTATCTGTTACATTATCCCATCATACCTAATGTAAGATGTGTGTCCCAAGCTGCACTGTAAATGTTTTACTCTTTTTAAGATGGAATGTAATTTTTACCCAGCTAGTAGTTTGAAGTTGTTATCTTTCAGTGGATATTGAGAGTAAACTGCTGGTGAGTGTCTCTATCAGTCAATTCTACCTAATCCTGTGGTATTTCACAGCCTATAGCTTCCAATTAAGTACTGCCATCCAGGGAGACGTCGCTGACAGTATCAATAACATCTTTCTGACCTTCTGTTCCTCTTTCTGTTCTTGCCTGCACTCCTTCTTTTCTCTTTATGTCACAGCACTATTAGCCCTGTATTAATGTCACTTTTAATTGTTGTAACTACTCTGCTACTGTGATCCACAAGATTTTTTCCTGAAAATCTCTGGCTAAGTATTACCGAAATGGTTTAATTATAAAAATTGTCTCTCAACAATTGCTACTAATAACAATGACATTATGCTTTTTATGTTCACAGTGAAGACATGTGGCAGTAATCTCCAAGGACCGTCAGGAACCTTTACATCTCCTAACTTCCCAATTCAATATGAGAGCAACGCACAGTGTGTGTGGATAATTACTGCTTCAAATCCCAATAAGGTAAATGCCCTTCTCTCTCGCCTTCTTTGTCTCTCTGTTTTTGTCTGTCAAACAAGCTCTCAAATTCAAACTGTTGTTAATTACAGTTTTTTTCAATTTCAGTATTGCTGCATTGGTCAAAACTGAAGTCTTATTGTCAAAACTCTACATACAGTCAGTGCAGCCGAAGTGTATGTGGACCAAACTGTGAATCATTTTTCATTGCTTTCACACAAAATGCATTCAAACACACATTCTTTCTCCAAAATTCATGAACTCTTTTTTCATTACTACTTGACTGTCTGCAAACACTATATATATATATATATATATATGCAGCACATTTTTCAAACCCTAACACACTGTGTCCAAAACTGTTAAAAACACATTCAAAACAGAATGATTGCAAATATCCTGCATTTTTGCAGTAACTGGATAGATAAATGTAGAAAATCTTAGCAGAACATTTATGTACATTTTACATTTATGTCTATGTGCCAACTGAGAAAAACTATATTTCAGGAACTTTTTTTCATAAGTAAATTACTGAATGCAGTGATATAGAAAGATATTATTAAAGCAAATTTCTGATTCATTCTTGTTACATATACTATAGTACCGTCAAAAAGTAAAAATATGTACTATATCTTACAGTTTTTCTCAGTCACTTTGGTGCATTTCTAGAATCATGCTTTAACTTTTGGAAAACTATTTGTATTGGTGAAATATGGCTAAGGTTTGGATGACAATGATTGAAAATGCACAAGGCTGCACTTTTTATGTATGGCATTGATGAATTTCAGCAGTACAGAGTTATATATTGCAAGGAATTGGACATGATTCACAGTTACGCTTTTACTGTTTGTAATGTAATTTGTTGACAGAGCATGTCATTTTGATGCAGAAAATAAAAAAAACATGACTATTTTACAGCACTGCATAGCATAATGGAAACCGTTACAAAAAAATAAATGTAAGCAAGAAAACACCCCCTCAAGTTGATGTTCCTATCAGGCCACAGATTCTTACTCACATCACAACAAATATCTTCATCAGTTTACTGTAGGACACATTTACAAAAAAAAGTCTTATAGACATATGTAGAAAAAATGTTTCGCAGGTTATCACGTGTTCAGCCATTTTGCATGTAGTGACTTATGCAATGAACTTATGACTAGATGTTGTGAGGTGTAAGACTATTCAACAGAGAACCAATATACCGTAATACATTCTGATCAACATGACATACAGTAAGCAATTGATCATGTAGGAAACAATTTCTAAGATTGAGAAATTGCTTTTACATGATGTGCACAAGTAAGATGATGTGGAGGTTGAACAAGTAGAATTTCAATTTTGATCTGAGCAACAACTGTATTCTACAAAGAAATACTGATAATATATATATGAAAAAATCCATCACATTTCAAAGATAAAAGTTCATCAAATTTACTTAATGTTTTCTGTTGTTAGTGTTTTTTTAGGTCAGTGTGTTATGATTAGGTCTGGGCAAAGTTGCCAAAAATGTTATCACGATAAAAACATTTCATATCAGTCGATATCGATAATTATCACGACATAAGTCAAATCATTATTTCTTTCAAGTTCAAAGGCATATTTTTGCTCCTGAGTGAAAATTGAAGAAACCAGATGGTTAATTATGTGGTTAAACTTGACTTTGGTAAGAATGTGACAAATACTTGATGCCAAACAGTGGATCACTTCACAAGTCTGAGTTAGCAAATTCAAAACTGTTATCTTTTTCAGCAAATATGATTAGTTTAGTAATCTTTTTTCAGGCTTCTTTTTTCAACAAAATAAATATTTTAATAGAAAAATTAGGTGCTAATTTGTTCACGATTCAAATGAATTAAAGCAAACATTTATTGGCGATAAAATGAACATATTATTTTGTTATTGAGGAAAATTATATTACGATAATTATCATTATTGTTTTATTGTCCAGCCCTAGTTATGAATGACAATGCATGCTTTCTGAGTGAGAATTGCTGCCATTGTTTCGATTGAATTTTTGTGGCTTGTATGAAGTGTGTTGGTGGTTTGAGTGACTTCTGGAGGTGAGATTAACTGTTTGGCCAAGATGCATGTTGGTAACGCAGTATGTGTGAAGAGTTTTGAAAAAGTGGCTTCAGTTTTGACCAATGCAGAGCAATTAAAAAACAAAAAAAAACAAAAACTGTAACACACATTGCAATTAATTGTTTTGGAACTAAATGGAATATGACCATTTGATATTTTTAACCAGGTCAGGTCACTCATTGGTGGGCCTTGAAGCGGACACTTTAGGTGCATCGGGACTATTGAGAATATCTCTCTTATGGTGCATGGTGAAAAAAATATGTTAATTCTATTGTAGAAGAACTTCATTAAAAAACGGCTTGGAATACATTTATTATTATGTGAATACATATTTGGAGTTGATATTTTGCATGTAGGCTGTAATTGTATTACTCCCCGTAAGTGTACCCACGCCAAACACAGAACAGAGCAGATATGAAATGTAAGAGCAGCACTGGCAGAGCAAGAGCGGGGAGTACACATCATCTTGCAGTCTGCCCTATTGTTAAAAGTGTGTTGGAAATACAACATGCTGCAGTGAGACAGAATGTCATGAGTGAGCGTAGCGATGCAGCTCAAGTTGTCTGCCTAAACTAGCCTGCAGGCTTTGTTCCATTTGAATTTTATGCATTCAATGTCATTTTAATTGATATAACACAGCAGCTCTTACAGGCATTTACAAATTTAGTTTAGCAGCATTTTTACATAATTGAAATGTGTTGATAATGATTCATATAGGAGGAACCATGCATGCTAGTCAGAGCATATCAGTGTCTCATCCTGTGTGATTGGTTAATCCTGCAAAGGGGCAGACGAAAGGCTAGGTTAGATAGCTGCAATTGGTCGCTTTATGTCCCAGGAGAAATCTGATTGGTATTCAGGAGACACATCGTTATTCCACTCAGGGTCACTGTGGTGACCGCCCTGTCGTCAATGGCAACACCTGCGTCAGCACCATGGCGATGCACATACACATATGTGCACAGTCACACGCACACACTTTTGCATGCACGTGTGATCAAATATACACACACACACACACACTTTGTCGTTTTGCTCTTGCTCAAAACCTTTATCTCTCGCTCTCTCTTTCTGTCCCCAACTCTCACACACAACTCTCTTTGTCACTGCCCAAGGCCTGTGGTTTATGGCCTAGAGCAAAACATTCTCATTTGAAGGCTACAATGTGTATGTGACCGTTGAAGGCTATAGTACTAATGCCTTTCCTCGCCCTGTTGGGTACGTGTGTGTGTGTGCGTGTGTGTGTGTATAATGTGTGTAAGTTGAAAATGAATGTGTATTTATTATGTATGATTATGGATATTGCCAAACACATTGCCCTAAATGAAGACCTGATCAACTGAAGCTGCATCAAGTCATTTTTATAGCACTTCATCATCTAAGGCTTTACCTTATCACTGTAATGTTCTTTTATCATAATACATTATATATACAATATGTCATGTGCTATACTGAATCAAAGACATGTCATGTGCTATACTGAATCAAAGACATGTCATGTGCTATATTGCGCCAGACGGTATGCCACTATATCAAACAAGAGGTCTTTAAATTTGTGCGGTACCTGACCTGAAGAGGATGGACATCCATTTAGAACAAACACAGAGGCGGTGATCTAGCAGGGCTAAGACATGTAGCACATGAACCACAACATCCCTGGGTCAAGTCTTGCTGGTCATCGCCCATTCTGTCGTACAACATTTCCTCTCTACCTTTAAATAGAAATCTTTTTCTTTTTTTTTTCTTTTTTTTTTACAAAGCAGACCCAATCTCCAGCTGACCTGAAAGAAACTGGACCCATGCCTGATCGTACTCTAAGGAGTCTAAATAGTTAATATCAAGTGCTGCCTTTAGTTGATTTTAAGATGGTATAAAGCACTTACCTCTGTTAACATATTAAGCTTTTATTGCTTATGGTTTGTTTGGATCCCCATTTGTTTTTGGGGTTTTTTCTTGGGAGCACTTCAAACAGTAAACAGTAACATTAACATTGCATCCAACAATAAAATTGCATGAAAATCTTATATGTACAAGTCATTAAACAATTAGAACAATTTCACCTGATTAACAGTCAGAACAAACAGCAATAATAGTGTCAGTTTATCTGAACTCTTTATTCATGTTGCAGAAACTCAAAGGAAGCCTATATTTCTTGTTTGTTGTTCAGGCCCTTTTTCAAAAGCCTCTTTAGCTGCTTCCTAAAAATCTTTTGTTATAAATTCTTGAGATGTAAAGCACGGCAAAGTGTTCCAGTGAGATATGGCTTTATATATTACTGTTTTTTTCATACCATTTGTCTTTGGTCAGGGTAGTGTAATGTGACCCCTCCTCACCTGCCTTATTGGATTACAAACTAGTCTGGAAAACTGCTGATAAAAAAGACAACTCTTAAACATTACAGCACTTCAGTATTAAAATGGTTTGTATGTTTCCCCCTTGAAACTTTGTCAATTAACTAAGTTGATTAAGCCACAGCAGATAAGTTGTTGTGTCTTGATCTTCTAAAGATGCGTTACGTGTTGCTGATGTTACTAGATTCTCTGTTGGGTTCAATCAAAATTTTTAAGAGATCTGAGACCCATAGCTTTTAAAGTCAAGGTCAGCTAGGTAGTGGTCAGGGTTGGTAATCAGGTTTCAGGGGTCAGGTCTCTCAAAGACCTCTACCTTAAAACTTTTTATAACAAATCTGTCCTGCACATCTATGGAAATCTGTGTCTTTAAACCCAGGGCTGTGGTCACATTCATCAGTTTGGCGCTTACAGAAATTGTGGAAGACAGAGGGCAAGAGAAAGACATGAGCATGACAAAGAGTGACAAATCATTTAGTATAACTCCAAATCAATTCCCATCTTTATTCATTCTTGGCAAGTTGTTGTATTCATGCTGGCCACCTGTGAAGAGGCTAGAGCATGTGAATATGT